AGGGACTTCATGAAACCCTCTGGATCCATCAGCCTCTGAGGGCGTTCCATCTTAATTGGTCCCCCACCTCTGTAAAAGGAAAGGTCAGTAAATAGTCTGAACTTGACCAGGTAGTGATCAGTCCAATGACAAAGGAAGAACAACCACATTCCTTATCCTGAAATCTCCTATCACCCCTACTCCAGAAGACAAGATTGAGCATATGACCTGCCACATGCATTGAGGCAATTATTTCTTGGGATAGTCCCAAGGTTGTCATGGTGGCCATGAAATCTCAAGCTGGACCATACAGGACAGGCTTAGCATGAACATTAAAGTTCCTCAAGACCAAAGGCCTCTGGGTCCTCAACGCTACATATGAGACCACCTCAAGCAAAGCATCTGCCATGCAGTGAAGTAGGCAGTACACCAGCAAAACACCCAATCTATCCCAGCCATCCAACACCAGATACCTCAAATATAGCACTTTGGTGGATCAGGGCACTGGTCAGTCAGATGGTAGCCCAATAGACAGTCACCACCACCCCTCTCTGACCATCAAGCCAAAGCTGGCGCTGGACCAAGAACCCAGCTGGGCACAATTGGGAGAGGTCAACGCCTCCCTCCACTCCCAGCCAGGTCTCAGAGATATAGGCCAAGTTGGCCCCTTCATCCAGGATTAAATCCTGGATGATAGCTGTCTTGTGAGATACTGACCTGGCATTCAGCAAGAGCACGGTCAGGCCTGATGGCCAGCTGTTAAGGTTCCCAGGGTCATTGAGGCTAGGGACAGACCCAGAACGAGGACTAGTCTATAACTCTCTAAACCTCGCTCCTCTCAGCTGGCCCATGCTGATGCCACCACCATAACTCCTCCTGCCCGTCACAACTCTCAGTATGTCGAATCCTCCCCATTAGTCACCCTGCCTGTGTCATAACACATAATGAGAAAAAAATGAGACGTTGAGATCAATCAGGATCAATCCAGGGAACCAAATAACATTGAGAGAAGTGATTCTTTAATTGCCTATACACCAGCACTGGAAGCCTGAGTAACGTGAATGCACTTGGAAGCTTTTAGCTCCATTCATCCCCTGATGACAACTGTTTGATCTTCACCATCCTGTGACAGTACACTTTCTAAAGAGGAATGTCAGCACTTCTCTTAAACTGATCATGATATTGAGACCACACCCTAATACTGTTGGCATTGACAGAGGATCTGTTTGAGCCTCAGGTGTCACGTTCCTTCATAATCCTACCTATGAATGTTGCCTTCCTGGTTGCACTCACCTCAACCAGGAGAGTAGGTTGACTGGGGGCCCTCATGGCAGACTTTTTTTATCTTCCATTGATGCAAAGTTTCTTTAAGATTACACCCCAAATTCATCCCCAGAATAATCTTGGGGAAGTTCATGTAAAACAGATCATATACTTAACTGGTTTGTATGTGAAGCCATGCGCTACTAAAGAGAGCATGAGACTGCACTCTGGATGCCCATAGTGCCCTGGCATTCTACTTACAAAGGACAGTACCTCAGTAATTGGCTTACAATGTTTTCTTCTTTGTGAACATATGAGAGAGAAGCCATATCTTCACAGAGAGGCTCAAAATGGGTTTGGGGATGCATCATGCTGTGTTATGAGTTAACAGCCACCTCCTCTTCCCTCAGGGAATGAAGGCCCATGCCATCGGAGCCTCGGCTGTCAGCTTCAACTTTTTTCTTGTTGAGGCCCCCACAACATGCTATAAAAATTCTATGGCCAATCTGTGACACGACTACTACTTTTCTGTATATACCCGCCAGGTTGGCGTTAGAAGTAGCAAGCAGGACAATTGCACAAGACCCCCTACCAAGGGACCCCCGGGAAGCTAAGCTGCTCAGGCTTTGGCTTCCACCCTGGTTGGTGGAGCTTAGGGCCTCAGGCTTTTCAGCCCCATGCAGAGCTTAGGCCCTTGGCTTCAGCATTTTGCCAAGGGCCCCAGTAAGTCAAATGCTAGAGCTGCTTGGTGGACCCCCTGAAACCTGCTTATGGCCCCTAGGGGGCTCCAGACTCCTGGTTGAGTAACTGCTTTGAAACAGACCGTTAAAGCAGAAACACACTGCAAAATGATCACGCCTCTGCAAAATATTACATTGGAACTCTCTACAATAGCCACATCTTTTGGCAGAGCAGTCCTTCAATTTTTAGTACAGAAAGCTTTCTTTCAGACTCTCCCTCCTGAGTTAATACAGCATGAGAGTCATCTGGAGTGGAATCCATATAGGTATTCTCACTTGAAGAAGAAAAAAAGGCTAAATACCTTGTACCGTAACTGGAGTTCTTAAATATGAGTGGTACCTATCTGCATTCCACTACGTGTCTTTTCCTTCTGGAGTCAAGCCATATTCTATGGCCATTTGCAGTAGAGAAGGAAGTGGTGAGGCAGTGGGTCTATGACTTATGTCTTTAGTTCACAAGGAGGCAAGGGGCAGAACAACAGACATTGCTAGCAAATTCTTTTGATGTCAGGCACATGGAGTGCATGCAAACATGGAGTGGAATACAGGTAGGGACCACATATCTCAAACTCCACTAACTCTGTACAAAGTAAATAACTTTTCTTTCTTCCTAGCATGTCAAGGTGACATAACCACAGTGTTCTGGCCCTGGACTTTGGACACACACAACCATCCTTCCCTGAAGTTTAGAGAGTTGGGCTTTAGAAAAAAATCCATAAAAGGGCACTTACACAGACTAGCATATGAATCAAACTGTAATTTTTAAAGGCACGTAAGGTAGCAAGGTGCCAAATCCTATTGGGATTGGAATTCTCTTATCTCGTTAATCTCCTTTGACAATTATTGCCTTAAAGATTCACTGAACACAGAGACAATATATTATATATATTTGTCTTGCTCTTACAATGATAGTATTGAGAAAAGAAAGAGGAAAAAATGGGGGGAGGTTCAAGAATAATTCTATACATTTTTAGGCTTGGAAAACAAGTATGTGTAATTAAGAGTGTCAAAGGGATGAACACAGGAGAGAACTCTTTTCCCGTAAAATGTATTTCAGAGTTTGAAGCACTCAATATTCTTAAAGTACAGTTCAGTCAAGACTGGAAAATATAGTGGGCTACAGACAGAAACATATGGTATTCATGAGTAGAAAAGATGAAGCAACTCTGAAAAGCCTTCAGCAAAAATATGGACAAGGACCATACAATAGTCATAGTCTTAAAGCAGGGGTGGCCAACCAGTTAGAGAGGAAAAGCCAAAATAGCTGTGGATAGAGTGCAGAGAGCCAAGTATTATATATTTATTTTTATATTTCTATTATAGATATATAAAAATAAAAAAACCTTTTAAAAAAACCCTTTAAAATACAGTAATATTCTCACACAAAAAAAGCATCTCCACTCTGTATTTTAAATTTAACATTACTTCCCTATTATGTCCTGTGAGTTTTTTACAATTAAACTGAACTGAGAAGTAAATTAGCATAATCTGAAGTGCCTGTTTCACTCCAGCTTGTTGATCTCTGGTATGGTTTCCTCATATTTTTTTTTTTTTTAACTTATAAA